CTTACTAGACTCTAGGAAACTATTGTATTTTGGTTTGCCGTTGGCGCCGTGGACTACACAGTGTGACCAAAATCTGTCAGACCACTATAATCAATTGAAACTGAAACTGTGTTCTCAATGTGTATCTAACAATTTTTAGGCTGCCTAAATTTCTTTTATAAACTTTTTAAAAATGGTTTTTGCTTAAGGCTACATTGATTCCATAAGGATTTGTTAATGAAGAATTCAATGCACTTTTCCATTTTTATGCTGGCCATTTTCATCAATGTTTTGTTTTCTTAAGACCAACTTTGTATCTACATTTTTTTCAATTTGGATACTCTTTCTGTAGAACTTTCCGACCTCTAGGACTGACTTACATTTGATCACATTGTCTTGCTCAAACAAGTTCTATTCATAATATCACTTACCCACTAGTTGCGTCTGTTCGTTTGGATTGTTTTTTGTTCAACTTCACGGACCATTTCCACAGTTCAGTGCGTAAATTGTATATTCAAATACTTTGTATACTGTTTACATTTTTAGTAATAAATAGCCTAATTTGTCAAATATACTGGATAAGTTATAAGATATGATGTTTTGCATAAGCGCTGAAGTGTTATAGCATATTAGCAGAAAGTACTCAAAATGTACTCATAAGTACTTTTTTAAAAAGTACTTGTACTCAAGTACATTTTATAGGAAAGTACTTTTACTGTACTTAAGTACATTTTTTAGATTGTACTTAAATTTGTACTTTAGTACTTTTTAAAAAGTACCTGGATATAGAAGTAGAAATGGGACTAAGAAAGTGGCGTTGGATGGGACACACCTTCAGAAAGCCCAGCGGAAACATCACTGCAATGGAACCCACAGGGAGCACGAGGCAGGCGTAGGCCACGAGAGACATGAAGGAGATGTGTGGAAAGGGACATGAGAGAGATGAAGCTCACTTGGAACAAGCTAGGAAGGATGGACCAGGATAGAGATACAGTGGAACTTGGATTCAACGAGGTCGCCGGGCCTGGCCTAAAATCTCGTTGAATCCGATTGTTTTATAGCAAACACGAGGTTTTGTGTAGATAATTACAGGCTCTGAGCAAGTAATGTATAAAGAGAAGTCACAAGTAGTGCCTGAAATGACTGCATTTTATGAGCTGTGTAAAAAAAAGACCGATTCGTTCAAATGCACACGCATGTGTCATCTCGATCGTTTACAGTTGTGTTGCTGTGTAGAGCCTGGCATACGGCAACTTTAGATTCCATAGACCAGGGCACAATTCATTACGTAGATTTACGTCAAGACTAGCTTATCGTTGTTATAGTGATCAGTTGCCGAGGGGGAAAAAGGACTGTGCCACGTTTGTATCTGCGACGTTCAACGCCAAGACCTCTAGTGCCCCCCCCCCCTCCCCGACACGCACACACAGCCACACGTGTGTAGGCTGCCCATCCGACCCCGTCACACGCTATTGTAGACACGTGCGCGTGCCTAGAACGCATGTGTTGGTATGAAAAAAGGCCGATGATTGTTTGCATGCAATCGGCTAAGTGAATAATGGTTCACGATGCAGGTGCAATGGATGGTTTCTGGGAATCGATAAAGTTCGTTCGGGGAGAAAAATGAGCGAAGCCACGTCTGCAGGGGCTGTTCAACCTGGAAGCGACCTCGTTGAATCCTAGCTCGCTGATCTAAGTGCTCGTTGAATCCGGGTTATTTTTTAAAAAATTGATTTTAAAGAAGAAAAGAACCGGGGAATCTATCTCATCTCGTTGAATCCGAGCTCGTTAAATCCGAGTTCCATTGTAAATGGAAGGAGCTTGTATGTAGCCTATACCCTGCCAGCGGTGAAAGGCATTGATGATGATGTGGGGTTGGATCCATGCTGAAAGCGGATGAAAAATCAGCAGAAAGTATCCTGCAGTAATTCCTTGGTGTGTCTATGTATTTGTAGATGTTATCTAAGAACACGAGAATGGCATCCTCTACGTCCCTCTTGGCAAATTGCATGCTATCCTGTATGTTGTCTGTTGATTTCCTATGTTCGTTCAGAACCAGTTTTTCTAAACATTTCATAAGGAGCGTTGCTAAAGCCACAGGTCTTAGGTCATTTAATTTAATTTTTGACTGTTTCTTTGGGACAGGAATTATTTCAGAGCATTTCCACGAGAGCGGTATTATTCATTTTTTCTAAGACATATTGAATTGAAAATATTCGTAAAAATGGGAGATACCTGAGTAGAACACGTTTTACTCCATCGGGTCCACTCGCGATATGTGAGCTATCAGACAATTAAACATGATCTTGACCTCATTAACTACATTAACCACATAAATTTTCTTGCTCTTGTTAAGAATCGTTTCCGTTGTTGTTGTCGTCTGTGCGGCCATTTTGAATCGTCTCTTTAAGGTTTGTACTTCGGTAATAAAAGAGACATGCAATGATCAAGAGTTTCCTATTGGATCTAGAGAGACACATTTGTAAGCATTTGGCATTAGAAACATTTACATAACAATAGTCAATAGTTTTGTCCTCACGGGTTGGTAGATACATTAACATATTGGTGGAAAGTGGGGAGGGCAGAAGTGAAAGACAATTAATTGTTAAAATCCCCGGTGATAATTATTACACCGTCTGGACAAGAAGACTGTTGTTCGTGAATCATTTCGACCAAAGTGTCCGTGGCAACTTTAACATTGGCTTGAGGTGGAATATAAACAATGTTGATTGTTATCTTAAGAAATTTCCTAGATATGTAGATAGTACAGGCGTGTAATAACTTACAATTAGACATTCAATGTCAGGTGTACACAGTTGGAGTTTGACAAGAATATTATTACGGCTGCACCACCTCACATTCACATTATATATATATATATATATATATATATATATATACTTACTTTTACTTTTTTTCTTCCGCTTGTACCCTGGGGTGTCGCGGGGAGACACAGGTGTCTGTCTGCAGCAAGTCGTGTGGCCTGTAGGAGGGACATCCCATGATCTTTAAGGGTGTCTGCCACAGATTCACTCCATCGTCGCCTTGGTCTTCCTCTGGCTCTCCATCCAGAATATTTAATGTTGTATGCTCTCAGAGCTGGATGGTTTGAGGGCATCCGCGTGAGGTGTCCGAACCACTTGACCCTTTGTTTTTCAATGTGTGGTAGGACTGGTGTTGCTCCCACGGTGTCCCTTATGACTTCATTTTTAATTTTGTCTCTTCTTGTTTTGTTGACCGCTCTTCTTAAGCATTTCATCTCGCATGTGACCAGTTTCCTCTCTAGGGCTTTTGTTAGAGTCCATGTCTGGCACTGATATGTGAGCGTTGGAAGGAAAATGGCGTTGATGAGCTTCGCCTTGGTGCTCATGGGGATATTGGGATGTTTCAGGAGAGGGCCCAGTTGGTAGCTGACTGCGTTGGCTCTCTGGCATCTAGTCTCTATCTCTCGATCTAATTTTCCATTTTCTGTGAAAATGCTGCCCAAGTATTTGAATTCTCTGCTTTGTATTAGTTGGGATCCATTGATGTTGATATCCACTTTACCTGGTCTCCTGCTAATTGTCATGACTTCGGTCTTGCTTATACTGATCTTCATGTCATATTTTTCGCAGCTCGCATTTAGTTGGTTTATATGCTCCTGTAGCTGAGTCTTGTTGTTAATCATTGCCAAGTCATCTGCAAACATGAGTTCGTTCAGTGCCTCTGGGTCTGGATTGGCCTCTTTTGTTATCTGGTCCATGTAGATCACGAAGAGCAGAGGGGAGAGATTGCAGCCCTGTCTCACTCCGGATGTTACTGGAAACCAGTCCGATGTTCCACTGGTAGTTCGGACAGCGCTTCTGCTGTTGGCATAGATAGCCCTGATGTTGTCTAGCAGTTGTCCCTTGATGTCGTACTGCTCTAAGATCGTCCATAGCTTGTTTCTATTTACTCGATCAAAGGCTTTTTCTTGATCCACAAATACGAGGTGGAGATCTTTGTCGTATTCCAAAGCCCTCTCACACAGTTGTCGGAGTGCGAAGATTGCATCAGTGCACCCTCTTCCTTTTCTAAAGCCAAATTGGGCGTCACTGAGAAGATATTCGGTTTTTGCGCGAGTACGTCGCTCTAGGATTTTTGCATACATTTTCCCCACATGGCTGAGAAGAGATATGCCTCTATAGGTGTTGCAGTCTTTCTTGCTGCCCTTTTTCTTCCATATTGGCACCACTATCGCATTTTGCCAGTCTGCTGGCACTTTTCTTTCTTTCCATGCTTTTTGAAAGATGATTGTTAGCCAATGTATTCCGGTTTCGCCGCATGCAAGGATGGCTTCGGTTGTGATGCCATCGTCTCCAGCTGCCTTGTTCTTTGGACTAGTTTTCAGTGCTTCTCTCACTTCACTCTCCAGGATGGTAGGTTCTGAGTGCTCAGGGTAGTTGGCGGTGAATGGGCACTGTGTGTTTTGTGCCTGTACTCCTGATGGGTTTAGTAGTTCTTGAAAATATTCTTCCCATCTTTTTATTATTTCTTTCTCTTCGTGCAGAGCTTCTCCATTAGTATCGTTGATGACAGTGGTGGGTACATAGGGTTCGTCTCTCAGTCTCATTGTCTTTACCTTCTTGTAGAACTCTCTTGGTGAGGTCTTGCAGGTTTCACTTAGTTTTTCGCCATACTGGGTCCATGACTTTTCTTTTGATGTTATAACGACTTTCTTACTGTGTCTTCTTGCAAGTCTATATTTAATGTAGTCCTCTTCGTTTTTTGACTTGACCCATACATTATACAGTCTCTTTTTTTTCCTTGATAGCATCTTTAACTTCTTCGTTCCACCAGGCTGTTGCTTTTCTGTGTTTTCCTCTTGTTTTCTTGGTACCACAGACTTCTTTCATTGTGTCCAGGAGAGTTGTTTTGAAGGTATCCCAAGCTTTCTCTACAGTTAGTATTGTAGAGTTGATAGAGCCTAGTTTTTCATTTAACGTGCTTCTGATCTGAGCCTGCACCTGATCATCTCCAAGTTTATGCATATTTAGTCTCTCTTACTGTCTTTTATGTTTTTTGGGTTTTCTTTCTTTCTTGGTGGTCAACGTTGTGATGATTGGCCTGTGGTCTGTGTCCAGGCCTGCATTGGGGATGGCTCTTGAGTCTGTGATTGTGATCCGCATTCGTGTTCTCGTTAATATGAAGTCGATCTGTGATGAGACCATGATGTTGTTCCATCTGTACCAGGTGTAGATCTGACAGGCTCTGTGCTGGAAGAAGGTGTTGGTGATGAATAAGTCGTGCTCTGCACACAGTTCCAGTACATGGTTGCCGTTATAATTGCATGGTGTTCTGTGGTCACTGTGTGGACCCAGGTGTTTTGTCCACGGTGTTCTTCTCTCTCCGACTCTTCCGTTGAAGTCTCCCATTACATAAAGGTCTTCCTCGTCTGGGATGTTGCTAATTAAGTCCGAGAGTTGTTCGAAGAAAGAGTCCTTTTCTTCGTCTGAGTAGGAGTCGTTACACGGTGCATACACCTGAATGTAGTTTGTGGTCTTTTTGCCCTCTCTAATGCTGATTTTGATGAGTCTTTCAGAAATGAAGTCCGTATTCAATATTTCCTTTGCTTTGTCAGGGTGTATGATGAAGCCCACACCGTGTTCAGCTCTTTGTTCTTTTCTTACCCCACTCCAAATGAGGACAAAGTTAGAGTGGATCTCTTTTGTGCCTGTCCCTTTTTTCCTGATGTCTGTAATGCCCATGGTGGAGATCTTGTTCTGGGTCATGAACTCCACTATCTCAGGTTCTTTATTTGTCAAGCTGCAAATGTTCCAGGTCCCTATTTTTTCATTTTTTCTTGATCGTTGTCCATTTTTCTCGCCAGGTCGTTTTCCGTTTTGATCAGTCCGTTTGTGTCTCCTTATGTTTTCTTGAGCAATGTTTATATCCACTGCCGGCCTGCTAAGCCAGTCGCAGTTTCACCAGAGCCCCGTTGGCCAGCAACGTTTCGGGGTGACCCGGGTCGGCCTTCACGGCTAGCGTAACGCCTCAGTGACATAAAGTCACACCGTACTTCACCCAGACCCAGCTACCCTACTTTGTCCTGTTTCCATCTCCCACGGCGTGGACGAGGGGTTGGACTTCGAGACACACACACATATATATATATATATATATATATATATATATATATATATATATATATATATATATATATATATATATATATATATATATATATATAATACACACACACACACACACACACACACACACACGCACACACACACACACACACACTCCTCCGCCTCGTTCTTTGTTAGAGTTAGAGTCTATCGTCCCGTCACAACGTACAAGATTGAATCCGTCAACATCCGCACTGTTGGTAGAAACACTGTCCTTGAACCATGTCTCGCTAAAACAAATAAGCGAAGCCTCTCTATACTCGTGCAGAAACCTAACATTTGCACAGAGTCCATCCATTTTATTATTTAATGACCTTGCATTACCACCAGTTAAGATAGTAGGTAAAACGGTTTGAAAGTTCTTCTCCTCGCCCTGAAAGGTACATTTTGAACTCCTCCCTTCCTTCCCCGTTTACGAGGTCACAATTCAAGGAGTAGAACAACATTGAAAACAACACTGTTTCTGCTTGCCGGTCTTGAGTCTTAGCCGTTTTAACATGGCTGAACTGTAGGTCTGTCTCAATGGTGGAGCTTCTCACAAAACACTGCACTGATGAATTTGCACTGACACACTATAAACAATCAAAAACACAAGAAATATGGCATAACTGAAAGACTTGAGATCCATAATAAGAAATAAGATATCACAACGCTGTGTAAAAATTGAGTAAGTGTAAAAATGTATCCAAAAGACGGAGATCTTTAAGAGCCTCGTCACCACTGAGTATCGCCGGAAGTATTTACGGCACTTATTAAGCACATTTGGTCACATAAGTGCCGAAGATTCGAACTGTTGAAAGAAAGTAACAAACACAAAAAAGGACGACAGATGTTTGATAAGACAGTAGAAGGAAGGCGAAAGCAAACCATACCGGAACACCCGCAAACCACCCACACATGCTCAGTACGCTTGACATTGCGAAAGCTGCTGGGGTACAACAGAGCTTGGCGAGATAAAATCTTTCCCCATTACCATAGACCGCCTTAGGGAGGGTCCTTCCATCCGAATGTTCTATTTGGGCTTACTCTTACTAGTCTTAACCTTTCTTTCACTTTCACACCCCCTTGAGACTCGCCGTCCCAGACAGAAAACCTGAGTTCCATCCAGGCATGGGGAGAATTTTTATCGAGTATCTTGGTCGTTCTGTTTGGACGATATTTCTCTCATAGCCCAGGTTGATCATGACCGCCAGGGTCGGAACCCACCCCCTAAACGAACGAAATCGTGTCGATGGGGGCGTAAAGAATATCACATTTTAAAATAGAACTAATAACAAAAAGCAAAGATTGCTATACGTGAACTTTGCAAGAAAAACAGAGCATGGAATACAAATTTTTGCATGGAGTTTGGATTTTATTAGTTCTGTTTAAACATTCAACATTATCAAAAAAGTTTGAAAAAGAGACATAATATTGTTTCATAATGTTATATACCACAATGCTTAAAGTAAAAGCATGTCTTTCATGATTGTTGAGAAATGATCTATGTAGTACTTTTCATATATATATATATATACTCTTGAATGGATCACATAAACAAATAAGCTCATTTAATAAACATGACAAAAAGGGCTTGGGACGCCATTTCCTTCCAGTCAACCTCAGAACAGCAGGCATCATGATTATAGTCTAGAACATACACTGCGAAATAGGTGGTATGCAGAAATCTTTTCGCTATGTGCAAATTTTGCTATGATGTGCTTTAAAATTACACATAAAATATAAATGCACCGTGTGAGACAAAATTTTGGACAGAAAATCTATTAGATCTGTGCGTGTTTCGCCATGAGATGAGCGTGTTCGCTGTGTTTGTGCTAGACTAAATATCTGATCATCATAATAATACAGGACTAAGACAAGAAAATTGGACAATAATGACCTTAACATACACAGCCTATAAGTATAACAATAATTACATCAATATATAACAAAGCCTTTCAAACAAACAACAAACTTTCTTTGCATATAAGCAATGGAGTCCACTTAAACTGAACACGGTTTATCCAAAAAGAGCGGTAAACCAAATGAAGAGAAAATCCCCAATTTATTTACTTCTTTTTGAGCAACCTCTCTATGCTGAAAACCCGGCTAAACCAGAAAATATCCGACAGTCCAGCAGAATTCAATTTTAGCGGACTCCACGATTCTTGCAATAAAAAGTTTTGAAAGTTGGTGAGGTCAAAGTAAAAAATCTTCAACGTGTGTGCGGCAGTGTAGACTCATGACAGAAAGAAGAACACTAGCGGGTGCGTTGCTAACGACAGCTAATTAATAGTGAACAAAAGTGGATGCATGTATTCAGTCAGTGACCACTATTAGTTTTAACCTATAAATGTGTGTTTGAGACTACAGTAGTAGGCTACATTCATTTTACCTTCTGCCAGCAAACAATTTCTACCCTTTGGTTCTTGTCAGTAAGGGTTTTACGGTGTTCGCAACAGCATAACTACCCTTTGGTTCTTTGTTGTTTTTTAATGTAGGTGTTTAAAACCCTGCCCCTGCAGGTGGGGAGCAAAGAATACACCTGCTGTGATACTGCGTGTCGTAAGAGGCGACTAAAAGTGCATAAGTCTGGTCGCCCGAAAAGTGCCAGTTCGCGGAGGGCCAACTACCCGACCCAGTAAAAAACAGTAAGTTACAGAAACATGGACAAACACAGCTTTTTATTTTTCGATCTTGGAAGACGGAGGAGCTTCTGCATCAGCAGGAACAGTGAAGGACAGCGGACAAAGCCAAAAGGACTCTTCTGACCCGAAACCTTCTCTGTCGAACAAGTCTCTCCGGATTGCGTCGAGGAATGTTCACATCTTGTATGAAGCAGGAAAGAGTTCTCAAGTTTTACAAGAGATGAAGAGATACAGGCTGCACATACTAGGAGTCAGCGAAACACACTAGATACAGTCTGGACAGAAGCAGCTCAGCTGGGGGGAACAAGTATTGTATTCTGGGAGGGAAGACAAGTACCAGGCGGAAGGAGTGGGAATCATTTTGAGTAAGTATGCACAGAAGTCACTTAGAGGGTGGGAACCACACAGGGAAAGGATCATCATGGCTTCATTCATTATAAGGAGCAAGAGCATCAACATGAATATAGTCCAAATCTATGCCCCAACAAATGATGCTTCGGATGAAGACAAGAATGCCTTTTACAGCCAGCTCCAAGGGGTCATCGACAAACTACCAAAGAAGGATGTCAACATCATAATGGGAGATGCCAATGCCAAGATTGGTCAGGACAACGAGGGGTATGAAAGAATTATGGGACAACATGGCTTGGGACAAATGAATGAGAATGGTGAGCGATTCGCAAATATATGTGCTTTCAACAGTTTTGTCATTGGAGGCTCTGTTTTTCCCCACAGGAGGATTCACAAGGCCACATGGGTTTCGCCAGATGGAGTGACGGAGAACTAGATAAATCATTTTTGTATCTCTCGTAAGTTCAGGCATTCACTGGAAGATGTCAAAGTCCAGCCCTTACAGAAAATCAGAAAATGGCATACATATGCATGACATACAGATAGCGCTAATACATAAATGTATGAGCTGATCCGCTGCAACTAATGGGGACAACTAGTCACTGCACAGCAGGTGTTAGAAATACTGCAAGTGCTGTGTAGGCTCTTCGCTGCTCAGAACAACGCGCCCCCATCACTGGCCTAGATTCTCCAACAGTGCACAAAGGCTGAAGAAGGATTGCATCATCTCAGTATTTATGGTCTCTGGCTTAGAGGATCTAAAGCGAACTGCACAGTTTGTGGGGACCACCAGATTGATTGACTGTCATTGAGAAAGGAGGAGGAGGAGGAGGAGGAGGAGGGGGAGGGGGAGGAAGAGGGGGGAGGAGGAGGGGGGAGGAGGAGGGGGGAGGAGGAGGAGGAGGAGGAGGAAGAGAAGAAGGAGAAAAAGAAGAAGAAGAAGAAAAAGAAGAAGATCACAAAGTTACTGCACGCTATGGCCCGTTGCCTCAAAGTATCCTTCTATCACATTCTAGTCATAATACTCAAATCGAAGCTGGCAAATCCTTTGATCATTCCTCTCTATAGAACATTTAACGACAGAAGGATCCTCCTCTTCCGGCTGCCACACGTAAGCCACAAGATTCTCACCCTCCAAACTCTCATTCTGAAATGAAATCTGCATACTCTTGAAACCGTTAATCAGAAAGTCCTCTGTAAGGCCTCTCAGAGCAGTGTTGTGAGTCTTCTCCCCACTTTCAGAGTGAACCAAAGCAGCATGCACAGCATCCTCGGCAAATGTGATGTACTTTAAGGCGTTGACATGGTTATAACCATCTGTGTCACTCCATCGAACCTACAAATATACAGAAAAGCATGCTATCAAAGTAATCATGCAGGTACCACAAATTAAAAAATTAAAATTTCCCAAAAGTAGATTTTCTTCAATGGATCAGAAAGAGCAGTAAAAATGATGAAACTCACCGTTTAAAACATTAAAATTAGCCAATAAAAAGTCATCACTGTTGAAATTCAATCAAAATGTAGAACATTTCATGGAGCGTATGTTAAAAAAGCAGGACTTTGAACAGCCACAAAATCATGTAATGACAATGCACATACTCATATATTATGTCTTCTTGAAGTTAAGGATAATATTGAGGCATACAAAGACTTAACGTTTAAAAAATCCTTGAGCTTATAATTCCGATTATTCTGTAAACACATAAAATTATATGAAAATGGCTTTTTAGTGAACAAATTTTACTTGCTACACCACAAAATGCCAATTTCAGAGGCTTGGAAAGTTATTATCCAGCAAAGTCAAAACTACATGATGTTGATAATGCAGGGTAAAAGCTCAATTTTTTTGGGGGTCAGCATAGAAAAAAGAATGTTGGAAGTATGCCATCGTGAAAATGACTGAAAGCCTCATTTCGCACGATGGCAAAAAGAATGTGCAAAAACACATCTTTTGTAAGTGTTAACTTTCATAAAATTAAATGATAATTACAGATATGAGACTGATTCGTTTAAATTTATAATGTAATTTAGCATGCTGAATGCAAAAATTCCATTAGATTCAACATACAAGTACTTTTAAGCATTAAAAAAAAGTTCACCATAACTTTAATAATTTAGCTCACACTGGAATTGGTATAAAGCTGCACTTCCACAGATTATCTTGATAAAAATCAGTAGGCCGTAAAGTAACATTATTTACTAATAACCATGAAATGAGAAATGGCTCATTACTTAGTGTAAAAATATTATATTACCTAAAATTTACCTATTTTTCAAAGAACGGGGCAAGAAACACCATTTCTTGGTAGTTTACTAGAACTGGCGCGCGGCAACCACGAAGTACAGGATGTTTACGTGCTAGACAGTACACAAAGATATACACGGAGACTTAAGGCGCTCCATTAGCTCAGAAAGTATCATGCTGGACTACAGAGTGGATGGCCCTGGCTCAAATCCCAGACTGGGCATTCTTGAGCTAGGGTCATTAAGTAGAGTTTTCAAGGCTGGCTCACAATCCATTTGGCTTTGGCCTATCGAAGACAGACTTTAAATTCAGATGTCCCCCCCCCCCCCCCTCTTAAATAACCTTGCAGTGTTGATAGTGGTGTTAAAACCATACACTCACTTTTTACTTACAGAGACTTATCAGTAACAATAGGGTAGGTACTCACCTTGAGTTCGTAAGGGAATGCATTTTCTGGCCTTTCAAAAGGTCGAATGACGAGACCCCTGTCTCGTATACCTCTCCCCACAAACTTGTCTCTGAACCAATCCTGGAATGGCGTGGGTTTCCTTGTGCTCTTGTCTATCGACACAGTTTGAGCAACCTGGGAGCATATTGGCTCATCCTTGTTGTCAGGGGAATACAGTTCTGTGACCATGGCAACTGAGGCATTTCCCACGTAACCCAGTTTGATTTTGACATCAAGTTCAGTTTTCTTCACTTCTGGATCATACAAGGCCCTTGAAAAACTCACTTCAGTTGAAGATATGAATATAAGACGGTCTGACGTGGTTCGAGCCCAATCCATGAATATATCACCAGCATCATTGTAAGGTTCGTGGAACATGAAAACACGGGCAGACAAGGCAACGAAGAGCAGGCTCTGTGCCTGTGGGTTAGCTGGAAGGAATCAAAATACAGTAAAAAAAACAACCAGTCAGTACAATAAGAAATACGATGGTTGAGTTACCAATGTCTAGCACACACATTGCAAAACCGGTGGGATGCGTAAATCTTTACACTATGTACTATTTCGCTTCGTATTTGTTTTATATATATATATACAAAGAATACATTAAAAAATATTTGGGACCTGAAATCTGTTTGCAATGTGCATGTTTCGTTGTGTATTTTCGCTATGTGTATGCTAGACTGTAGTATATTTACAAAAGTCTTTTCTTTCTAATGTAGCAGTCTCCGACTAAGATCCCACCGTTCACGATCCCGGTTCGCCTAAGACCAGCTGTTTTCAGATAACAGAATTTTTACTACAAAAAAAAGACACCCCTAAAACCCCACTCTGATTCATTCTGAAGGTCTACATTCGGCTAAGACCCCCCCATTTCAGATCATAATCTACAGAAAAAAAAACCCAGGCGGGTACAGCCTATCATCCAAGAGTCAAAAGTTGAGATCATTAAATTACCCGTCACGTTAAAGATCAGCCACTCTCATGAATGAGATCACACAGTGTCAAACAGTGTTGCAAAACTCTTCCCTGACCATTGTTGTCTCAAATCCTGAATTTGAGAGACAGACTGAATTTTAATTGGTGTGGTCACAATGTAATGGTGCGTAACGACAAAGGTGGGGGAAACTCAGTCAGAGATGGAAAGCTATACATATTTTGGATGTGTAATGGGCAGGGGCCACTGGATAGGCAAAGAAATGGCACGCCTAATGCCACTGTGATTGGTCATCAAGACCACTCTTTGCTCGACATAATACATGTATGTCATAAACCCACCCAAAGGTCACGTCATTTGATTTTAAAGTGAAAGGAGACCATTTTACCAGTTGTTTGCCTTAACATGGGTCCCCGTAAATTCTTCCCTCAGATTCGGTAAGATCCCAATCGCCTAAGATTCCGCATTTTCCTTGTTCCCAAGCATCGGGATCTTAGGCGGAGACTACTATCTAAAGTGTTGTTTTAACTTTGTACACACAGAAATATCATAAACTTCTCTGGTGGTAAATTTCAGCACATCAATTAAGTACATCTCAAACTATATGTATTCAACTACAATCAGACTGGTATTTTTGCCTTTCATTTTAATTAATAGCAACTTTTTATATTATAAGGGGAAAACAGCTGTAGCCAATACACCGCACTGGGAGTACAAGTCCAAGGATGTAACTCCTATTCAATGGAGTAGTGCACATTTCACATTCTTGTGAAAACATTTGGTGCGAGCATAAAAGATTTGGGAACACATTTGTGGATGGGAAGTAGACAAAAGATGGCAGCAATACTAACTCAAGAAAGAAGCTGCTGTGTGGATCTAACTTCTAAGGCATCCAAGTCGGAGGGGCTAAATTAAGAAAGTTAAACTTTGAAACCTTTATTGTAACGTTAGTATATATATTTTCATATCTCCCTATACGAATTCAGTCCCTTTATTAGATACAACATGCTAACAATATTTTTCACTACATGACAGGAAAAATCAGCAAAAATGGCAGCATGTAAAATATTCAACAAATGGAATATAATTGATCACATAATTAATCCCCTCACAATTTAAATACTCCAAGACCTAAACCTTGAAGTGATGATGTTAACCCCTTCTATCTCTGTACTATACAGCCCTCGCTGTGTACATTTTCCTCTCCAGTTCTCATCCCCCCCCCCACACTCA